TGAGCGCGCCGCTCGCTGCCACCCCATGGCTGCCCTGCAGCAGGGCAGAGACCCACTGGTGTCCTTCACCCACCTCCTTGTACTCGCTGATCCAGTAGAGCCTGCCGGCGGCCTGGTCCAAGGTCAGGCCCACCGGCTCCTCCATGGACACCACCATGAGCTCCCGCCGGTCCGAGCCGTCCATGCCAGCCGTGGCGATGACCGTCCGGCCCCTCTGGCCACGGTTCACCCAATAGAGGGACCTGGGGCAAGCAGTGAGCACCTGGGCTCGCCACGGTCCCGATGCCCCCGTCTCGGGATGAGTCTCACCTGCCAGCCGGGTGCACCACCAGCTGCTCGGGGGCCACATCCTTGCCCAGCACCGTCACGTAGCCACGGCCATCACCCAGCCCCGCACGGACTGGGATGGCTGCTGGCCCAGTAGAGCTGCCCCGTGAACCAGTCCACCGAGATGCTGTTCACTTCGCCGGCATCTGTGGGCACCGCGCGGTGAGCACCACCCAGGCAGCAGCGAGAGCTTCACCATGGCCCTGCTCAGCTGCGAGACCCACCTGCACAGAGGGCCCTGTGTGCCCTCCCTGGCCATCCCAGCTTCATTAGAGGGACCTACCTGGGTAGAGGGTCCAGCTGTCCTCTCCGGGGACCCCAGTTTTACTGTGGTCCCACCTGCATAGAAGGTCCTGGGCATCCTCCCCAGGCACCCTGGCTCCACTGGGACAACCCACCTGGGATGATGGTCCAGGTGTCCTGCCCGGGTGTCCCAGCTTCACTGTGGGATCCACCCGGGTAGAAGGTCCAGGAGCCGTCCCCAGGTAGCCCAGCTCCACCAGGATGACCCACCTGGATAGAAGATCCTGGGTGCCCTTTCTGGATACCATAGCTTCACAAGGAAGACCTACCTGTGTCAAGGGTCCTGGATGCCCTTTCCAGACACTCCAGCTCCACCAGGAGCACCCACCTGAGTAGAAGGTCTGGGGTGTCCTCCCAAGCTCCAGGAAGACCCACCTCGGTAGAAGGTCCTGGACATCCTCCCTGGGCACCCCAGATCCACTGGGACAACATGCCTGGGTCAAGGGCCCAGGTGCCCTCCCTGGGTACCCCTGCTCCACCAGGAGGACACCCCTGGGTAGAAGTTTCCAGGAGGCCTCCACAGGTGTCCCAGCTGCACCAGGAGGACCCATGTGGGTACAACGTCCTAGGTGCCCTCCTCAGGTGTCCTAGCTCCACTGGGACAACCTACCTGGATAGAAGGTCCTGGGTGCCTTCCCCGGGTGTCTCATCTCCATCAGGAGGACACACCTGGGCAGAAGGTCCAGGAGCCTTCCCCAGGCACCCTATCTCCATCAGGAGGACCCACCTGGGTAGAAGGTCTTGGGTGCCCTCCCCAGGCATCCCAGGTCCACTGGGGCAGTCCACCTGGATCAAGGATCCTGGGTGCCCTCCCCAGGCACCCCAGCTGCACCAGGAGGACCCACCTGGGTAGAGGGTCCGTGTCTCCTGCCCGGGCAGGCGGACGCAGATCTCGCCCTCCTCGGTGAGCCAGTAGAAGGTCTCACGGAGTAGGTCGTAGGCCAGGGCATGGGGCTGCGTGCCCGTGGCCAGCAAGGGCCGGTAGGCTTGCGTGCGCACGTCCAGGAGCGCCAGGTCCTGCCCCACGGCCACCAGGAGCTGCGTGGTGTTGTCTGCCGGCAGATGAGGAGGGATGTCAGCCCCGGCAATGGCGCTGGGGTGGGGGTGGGACACGTCGCTTGTGCTGGGGGACACCCACCTGCCACCTCGCAGGCGGTGCCGTGCCGCAGCACATAGCCCTGGAGGCAGGCGCAGCTGAAGGTGCCGGGTGCATTGGTGCAGAGCTGGCTGCAGGGGCCGTAGGGCAGGGCGCACTCGTCCACGTCTGTGGGGATGGGGTGGCGCTGACCCTCCTGGCACCCCACTGTCCGCCCCGGCGCGGCTCTGCCGCGTGCCGCCCCGCTCCGTACCGGCGCAGCTCTGCCCGTCGGCCCGCAGCGCCCACCCGTCGCCGCAGGAGCACTGCACGCCCCAGTGCGTGTCGGTGCAGGTCTCGGCGCAGCCGCCGTTGCGCACAAAGCAGCTCCGGCCTGCGCGGGAAGGACGGGGCAGTGGTGACAGCTGCGGTGGCGGGGGAGGGAAGGGGAGGACAGCGGGTGCCCCC